CTTGCTGCAGGACTCCTGGTTAATTTGAATCTGGAAGTACCTGATAGCTTTAGGCCCCCTCCAGCACCTTTGCCATATGATATGGTTTTGAGATGTCCTCAATCAACAGATTCAGAATCTTTCAGAGAAACTGTTAGTGGTGGTAGTTTTGAGACATTACCTACATTTGAAGATCTTGAGGAATCAGACTGCAGCAGAACTCAGGCTAGTTCCTTGATTCTCTCTCCAAGGAAATCAGAAGTCTCAAAATTAAATGAGCTTAAGGCATCAACAACAGAGGAAGAGGATGCTTGTCCCATTTGTCTTGAAGGTACTGTATGTCATCATGTTTGAAAGCATTATTCCTTTTATTTGTTATGTCAGATGATAACTGACATGCTTGCTGGTTAGGGGACATTGAAGAGAGATTGAACTTTTTTTTTTTAATACCATTATTTTTAACATCTGATAAATCATCTTTGGATTCTTCCACACGCAGAGTATGATTCAGAGAATCCAAAACTTTTCACAAAATGCGAGCATCATTTTCATCTATCGTGTATTTTGGAGTGGATGGAAAGAAGTGACACCTGCCCCATATGTGATCAGGTTTGCCCCTTGCAAAATGTAGTAGATATGGTAGCTAAAGAACCTGAGTGTGGCTTATCAATGTGAGGATCTTTTATTTATTTTTTTTTTTTATTTTGCCTAACTAACAAACCCTGCAGCATCTTACAGGTGTCTCATTAACATGGTTGTGACTTCTGCTGTACACTAGTAAAATTTTCTGTTTCTTTATTGTTACAGGAAATGATATTTGATGATACCGTTCATCAGTAATTAATTCTTTGTTGAAGATGGAAACCATGGCTGTTTGAGGAAAAGGTTTCCCAACTTAATGAGCGGTGGATGCATGTTTAGTTTTTGTTCTGTAGCTGGTTAGATGGGTGCCCCTTAGCCTATGCTGTAGTTATCTAAAGGAATACACTGTATTGATGATGTCAATTGTTTTGTTCAATTACCTGAGCATGTCAAGAGTAGATCATCAAGTGAGAACATAGGATAACAGCTTGCATGTGTTGATTTTTCACTTGTACAGATCTCAGCCTCACTTGCATGTTGAATATATGTACAAAGAGCAACCATCAGTCTGCCTTGCATCTCAGCCCCCTCTTCTTATTGTTGAATATATGTACATATTTATCTTTTCCACTGGTTTTTGTAAATCCCATCTGTTTCACATATTGGGCAGATTTTTGATACAATTCATCGGTGCAAGAAATGGCCATCTGGTGTTGGTTTTTTGTTTTTTGTTTTGTTTTGGCTTTTTTTTTTAAAAAAAATTCTAAATTCCAAAAGGACATTAATTACTAGACAAGGACAAGGTAACCGTTTTAACCGTAACCAACTAACTTGAAGATACGGTCAACTCTGTGGCTGTCTTTTTCGAAACAGACTTCTTTCTATGGTCCTCCTCATTTATAGCCAAAGACACCACCCGTTTCCTAAGATCCTCGTACTTAATTCCACAAACAAACATCAACTTCAACAAACACAACAGGGAAAAAAGGAAAAACAAAGGGTTCTTCAAAATCGTGCAAAAATTGCGAATACAATAGAGTGTGAGCTGCAAAATGCAGAGGACAATGTCAATCCATCCTCTGCTAGTTCATCCCCTACCCACAAACTCACCGATTCCCAGTTCCACAGTACATCATCGGCGTTCCTCGATGCCGTCGCTTTGGAGTCCGCCGATCTCCACCCTGCTCCTACAACGTTGGTTGCCACCGAAGGTGGAGATTATCCATTGGTAACTGGCTTTGGAGATGCGAAGTACATATGGTTCGTCGAGTCCTCTAAGTTATGGGGGATTGCTGGTCCCATTGCATTCAATATTATCTGCAATTACGGTATCAATTCCTTCACCAATATCTTCGTCGGCCATATTGGAGATGTTGAGCTCTCTGCTGTCGCCATTGCTCTATCCGTAGTCGCAAACTTCTCCTTCGGATTCATGGTTTGATTCTTCACCAATTTCTCCCTGAATTCATTCTTTTTGTTCTGTGTTTTTTTCTCACAGAATTCATCTTCCGGTAGCTTGGAATGGCTAGTGCGCTGGAGACGCTGTGTGGACAGGCATTCGGCGCCGGTCAAGTCGACATGCTCGGTGTGTATCTGCAGCGTTCGATGATAATCCTCTTTGGGGCTTGCTTCTTCCTTTTACCTCTTTACATCTACGCCACACCCATCTTGAAACTCCTCGGCCAAGAAACCGACATTGCAGAATTGGCTGGAAAATTCACCGTCCAAGTCATCCCTCAAATGTTCTCCTTAGCCATTAATTTCACGACCCAGAAGTTCTTGCAGGCACAGAGCAAGGTGGGTGCTTTGGCATGGATAGCCTTTGTGGCTCTTATATCACATATCATGATACTTCACCTCTTCATCAACGTGTTCAAGTGGGGCATGGTTGGAGCTGCCGCCGCCTACGACATCTCTGCCTGGGCCGTTGCGGTGGCTCAACTTATATATGTGGTGGGATGGTGCAAGGACGGCTGGAAGGGATTGTCTTGGTTGGCCTTTAAGGACATTTGGGGATTTGTGAGACTTTCTATAGCTTCAGCTGTGATGCTTTGCTTGGAGATTTGGTATTTCATGACCATAATTGTCCTGACCGGCCACCTTGAAGATCCTATCATCGCAGTCGGTTCTCTTTCTATTTGGTCAGATTGAAACTCAACCTATATATATCACCAAATTCTCTATTTTTACACTTTTTTTTTCCTTCTATCTCAAGTTTATTCAATTTTTCCATGTTTTAGCATGAACATCAACGGTTGGGAAGGCATGATCTTCATAGGAATAAATGCAGCCATAAGGTAAAGAAAGAACACCTATTTCTAACATTAGCTAACACCTTGAAAAGTCTCAAATTTGAATCCCCTCTCCCAAACATATAATAAACCTCATATGATTTCAGTGTTAGGGTGTCCAATGAGCTGGGATCAGGACATCCAAGAGCAGCCAAATACTCGGTGGTGATCACAGTGGTGCAGTCTCTACTGATCGGATGCATATCAGCAATCATTATCTTGGCAACCAAAAACAAATTTTCCATCATATTCACAGACAGTGAACCCATGCGCAAGGCTGTGGCTGATCTGGCTTATCTTCTAGGCATAACCATGGTGCTAAACAGTGTGCAGCCTGTTATATCAGGTGAGGAAAACAATAATTCAATGGTGGCACCCTTTCTTTCTTTTTTTTTTCTTTTTTTGTGTGTGTAACATTTTCCATTGCAGGTGTTGCTGTTGGAGGAGGCTGGCAAGGTCTGGTGGCTTACATAAACTTGTTCTGTTATTACATTGTTGGTCTCCCTCTAGGCTTTCTTCTTGGTTACAAAACTACATTAGGGGTTCAGGTAGGGTATAAATTTGATCGATTAAGCTTTTAAGTTGAACAGTTCTTGTATCGTATATGATTTAATGGGATGTAAATTGCTTCAGGGAATTTGGATTGGCATGATTTGTGGGACGTTTTTGCAGACAGTAATCCTAGTGTTTATTGTATATAAAACCAACTGGAACGAGGAGGTGATCATTTTTTTGTAGTTATTGTCAAAATCCTTAGACAAATTTGCATGAATTTAACATATATTCATTCATTTTTAACAAATGACATCTTTGATTACAGGTTGAACAGGCATCTGAAAGGATGAAGCAATGGGGAGCAGAAGCTTTGGATGCAACTTAATGTTAGGCTTCCTCTTTTTTATTGTACATTTTTGCTTCCGTTTTTTCATTTTTCCATCACATCAAAATACATAGATATGTGAATGATCTAAGTAATTTAGTAGTTATTTCATTTAAACTACAAGACATTTCAACAAGATGGGTTAAAAAAGAGAAGAAGGCTACCCCATGTCGTAATTTGAAGGAATGTTCCTTTGATAAGATATTCCAATGTAGTTTCAACACCATTTGATCTATTCTTAACACTAATTAGCATCATCTTCAGGATGTTGTAACTTTGTATATGAAGATCATAACATGAAAGATTGGATTTTCTTTTCCCTTTTTTCTCTTATATATCTTCACAACCTAAAGTCTTGAACCTTAGAACCAAACAAGAAAGAAATCAGTAAAGGAAGAAAAAAACCAGAACAAAAAGAAATAGACAAGCCCATGAACATGCGACAAGGCGCGTCAAAGTAGAAAATCACCAATTAAAAAACAAAAATTGGAAGAAAGGGAAGCATATTGCTTAAATGTGATTATTTACTTCACCTAAAGCTAGTTAATTTTATGTTGGAACTTGATGTTGTAAGTTGGGAGACTCATATGTTCTAACAGAAATTAAGAAAATAAAGAACGGTAGGAGAGAAGGATATATATTAAAAGGAAGAAGAAAGAAGAAGGGGAAAGGGAAAAAAATTATTTACAAGATCAGTGGGCTTCTAGGGGAAAAAATTGAAAGAAAAGGAGAAAAATGAAAATGGAGCGAAGAAACAAAGAAAGGATAACGCTGAATAAGCGCCACAAAGGAAAAAGATAAACCACACCGAAACCCAAGAAGCTCAGGTGTCTACTCTCTAGAGCTTTCGAAACCCTTTGTTCTATAATAGTAATAATAATATTTATTTATATATAAATTTTATGTATT